AAAAAAATCACTATAATAAGATAGAGTTCTAGACTCTCCTGGTAACTTGCTGATTTTGTACTAAAGTTCTCCTCTTCCACAGACCATAAAGATAATGGAAGTTCCAGTTATAAAGATAAAGAAAACTAGTCCTGATAAATCAGAAGAAAAACTAATAAAAAGTATTATTCATATGGTATGTCATGCAATTAAGCACACGTGATTGCATGCAGCATGTTGCACTTCACTGGGACTGAAATGTGCAGATATGTTGATTTTTCTATTAACGGGGTGTAGTGGTCACAAAATAAGCTAATGTGTCTGATGGTGTAATTTGAAGCTCACCTCAAAAATTGCATTCTGTCTTTTTATTAAATACTCAACTGTGGAGTTAGTATCTTCAGCTCTTAATTAGCAGTGTTTTCTAGCAAGGGGATAGACAGATCAAAGGAGGCATTCAAATGCATGCTTATATTAAATCAACACTTTCATTAGTTTTTGCTATGAACGGGCTTCTTAATTGGTTAATTGACCTCTATTTCAGCTGAGAACTGGATCTGAAATTAAATGTGAGAAGTGGTTATCTGTTTCTTGATGTGAAAAACCTAGAAAATGAAATTTCTAAGTAAACATTGAAATTGGAACAGACCAAACTTTATTTTTAAGCCCTTCTGAAATATCAGGAATAAATGACTTCTGTATTTTAGGTCTTACGCAGTATTAAACTTGCTTCTGCTAGCATTTTGTGTTAAGCTGTAGTTGATAGCAGTATCCAGGAGTACCTTAAGCTGTTCTAACAACCTAGAGGGAGAAATTTCATTAAGCAGGTGTGCTTACTTAAGGTTCTCCCTCAACCTCAGTATATGGATTTTTGCCAGTACTATATTGCCAATGTGAACTGATATTTAACTACTGAAACTACTACAATTCTTGTCTTCCAAAAATAATTCTAAGTTTTTTTTTAAAGTACTGTTCATAGCTATTCTTATAGTAAGGAATGATTCCAACCATTATGATTCTATAACTCATCTAGCTTTGACAAATACATCTTATGAGTCTGTCAGTGAAATCTTAACTGTCTTTGCATTTACCTTTTTACTTTGCTTCCCCGTCCCCCCGCCTTTAATGGCCCAAAAGATCAAGAGAGTTAAATGCGATCCTAATGTAAGTATGTTGCTTGAACGTTGCTTCTCTTTCTTTTCCAACCTCTAAATCAAGGAAATTAAAATGCCCTACATAAAGATGGACTCAATAGAAGAACTTGGAGATTCTGATTCCCCAGAGTTTGAGACGGTGTTTGTTGTAGCAGACTTCCAAGATTCTGTGTTTAGCAACCTCTACAAAGCAGATTGCCGTGTTGTTGGACCTCCAGTAGTACTGCACTGTGCACAGAAAGGAGAGGTATGTGCTTTTGGTCAAATCAGCTGAGGAGTTCTCTCATACAACGAGTTTGAAAATATTCCAAACAAAATCTTTGTGTGCCTTGCTTTGCCACCCATGCGTGTGAAGAAGATTCTTTTGGGAAGGTAATTTTGAGGAAAGCAGATTTCTAATATCATTTTATAGTGTTGTGCTGAAGTAGTGAGTGAAAAAGGCCAGGTAGACAGTGGTAAGACTGTACAATAAGACAGCGCTGTTACTACAGTAGTTGTGAAAGTTATTGACCCCCAAAGTTGGGATTATGCCATTATGGAAGGCAGCATGGTCTAGCAGACAGTTTGTATTTCCAAAGGCCAGTGCTTAGAAGGAAGTAGGTTGGGGAAGAAAAGGATGTAGCACTGCACTTGGGAAATGATGTTGTTCTAGTTACTTTATCAGAATTTGGAAAGTCTGAAGCTGAAGTGCAAACTGAGTACAGACTTGAACTAGTCTATAATACATTTTCATACTAGAAACAATAGGGTTATTGTATTAGAGATGCTAAAACTCTACTGGAAACTGCAGGCTTTTTGCTAATAAACCAACTACTTTTGTTTCAGCCTTTACCTTTCTCATGTCGTCCACTGTACTGTGCAAGTATGTTGAACTTGGTACTGTGCTTTACGGGATTCAGAAAGAAAGATGAATTAGTAAGATTTTTCTTTTTTCTTTTGTTGTTTTTGGATTGGTAAAACTGTTTAACTTGCTTTTAAAATAATTCCCAGTTCTACACTAGGTGTAGTGTGTTACTATGACTAAGGTGCTATGAAGGAATGAGTTGCATCTTCGTTGTTTTGTTTT